AGGGCATTCGTTACTCGAAACTTCTAGAACGCGTATTATAAGTACATTGCTTTTGAAAGCGATAATTGACGGTCAGTAAATCGTTTTCTTGTCTGAATTACATCCGATATTAAATTAAATGTTTATTAACTTATATTACTTGTTAGATATTATTTAACATTGATGAGTGCAGATAATTAAGTCTTTGTATGTATAGATCATATATTTGAATGAAGAGGGTTATGGCCGGATAAGTTTGATGTTTAAATTTATGGTCTATGGTCACCCCATGTGTCCAACCAGCTGTAGAATGAAACCTCGCTTCCTGAGAGGACAATTAACGCTGACATTATTATTAATCGCTGTGTAAGTAAAGCCTTACGAACACACCACAGAGTAAGAATCTACAGAGACTTACAATAAAATTATTTACATATACATATGTTGTAATTTCTTTAAATTATTCCTTTATATTTTAACTATAAATTTGACACGTAACGATCTAATATGAACTAGGCCATAGCTTTTTATGTAGATTTAAAAAGTATTTTATTTGTTGATAAAGCCTAACGATAATTTGCCGTTTTTTTGTTAGTCACGTATTAACTGAAAGTGTACCTATATATTATATGAATAACAATATTATTTTTGCAATGATTTAAAATTTAAATAAATTTAGTAAAGTATTATTGATAGTGTTACTTAATAATAATAGTTTTATTTAAAAAAATCGAAAATTTTCATACTCTTACCCGGCTAAGAGTTTCAAAAGGTTCGTAAAATTAAATAGGTAACCGGTAATTACTACATATATACCATTACATTTAAGCAATATAATTATTTTAAACTATCACGTAGTGTTGTAAAACCGATATGATTATAATTTTGACAATTAAAACGCAAAACCCAAATAACCGACAAAAATTTTTTAGATAATATCTTTGGTACACCATTAGGACTACGATTAAATACTAACTACCCTAAATACTTTAAGAAATAGTACCGTGGAATAGTCACGCCACTTTGACATAGTATTTTAAAAATTCCTCAACGCACGCGATGTAGTTTTGACGTTTGTAAATGTCATACCTAGAGCGTTATTTGTAACGAAACTCGAAACTGAATTATGTTAAAGTTTTTTAAGCCTTTATAAAAATCACGCTTCAGGATCTTCTACCTGGCAATTTCCCAGCTATAGCCAGGGTCTGCCTTACATGTTGTGAATAGTTTTTTTTTGGCTATTTGTATTTACGACCGGCCGCCTGCCTGACGTCAACCCTTTGGGAATCAACATCAATCAGTGATGTCTAAATACTCTTAGAAAGTACATTAAAAATCACGCTTCAGGATATTATAACATATTAATGGAATATAAAACAGCGATAATTGATGCCATAGTTTCCTGTGTCTATTCATACGTAGTTTAGTTCACCAAGTATCGGATACGTTAGGAATACAAATGATTCAGTATGCACTCGAATGTGGAAATTCCATTCTGTGCGGTTTTGTGTGTGCGGAACGTAAAATAGAATTTGTATTTTTATTCATAAATCATAATATTGCCACTGACCGCAGCGTCTCAGTCTGAATATAATCATTTCATATTGACTCATTACTAATTTATGACGTGTAGTTGTCGGTGTTGTATAATGTATGGAAAGATTAAATTCGATTTCCAAGACACTGATCGGATTCATTCAGCCACATTTATATCTACGTTGTAAAGAGGTTCTATATTTATGAAATAATATTTTACTCTAGACGTTTTTGTCGACCCTAATTAAAAATATTGCGATGAGGAAATTTTAATCACATTACGGATGTCATTTTTAGTTCTCTATTAAGTTTGAAGATCAAATTGGATCCAATTAGTTGGATTAGTGACAGTTGAGTCAGTCATTTTTGCTAGGAGTCATACGAGTCCTATTAACAGTTATGTATCATACTTATATCATAAAAAGAGAATTTAATATATAGATAAATATTATATATTTCGTGCAAAAATAAAGTAAATTTATTATCTGTACATTATTTATTATTAATATTGACGTAGTTGGAGACAGTTAAGGACTTTCCTGAGTATAAGCACGTCCGCGGTATGAAACATGAGCGGCGAACGGAAGAAGTTTGTAGTGATGTGGCGACTGGCGGCGTATAGCGCATTATAATCATATAAAAACTTTTTATATCAATACTTATTACTTATATGAAGTGTCATAGACAAGTAGATGTCACTGTCAAGTTAATAAGATTAAGTCTAGTTATAAAAAAACTGATTGTATTGTATTTTCCTGATAGAAGAACTATTATTAACAAAGATATTATGTGTATTTGAGAAAATATAATCACAATAATTGATATCTAGAAAGGCATGTGGGTAAAATATAAAGTGCTTATTATTGTCATGACAATAAAACATTGGTTTTTTAGTATAATAGTGGTTTTGTGTCGCTTTTGGTCGCGTGTTAGTAATTCACGGCGCCGGTGTGTGTATGACGCGGCGTCGCGACGCCCGCCGTCTAAGTCCAACCCTTGTCTGATTAATTTTTCAACCCCGCCGATGCGTCAGCTCATTCATTTGTAAGTATTGAGCGTCGGTGGATGATAATAATATATTCTTAATCATTCGGCTTTGTTTAATAAACCGGAAAGTTATTCGGAATGCGTGAATAGAATTTCTACATAATTCATAAATCGCATTAGTCTCTTACGCTCTTGTAGGGTTGTAATCGCTTTACTGCAAAACACTAGAGGGATTTGTTTTAAGATTTTTATGCTTTAAGATAGTGTCTTAAGCATCTTAAACTATACAGCCGATTTAATAAATACATAAGCTGTCACTATGACTAGTGACGTTTGACGTTTGACATATTTATATAAAACAAAAGAGGTTTTATGTTGTAATTTCTTACAAACCATAGATAAAAAATATAGTAATTTATTTTAATTCAGCCAGTATATGGTAGTTGTACAACGTACATGATGTTTAACAAAGAAATAGAAAATGAATCTGTTCCATGGTTCAAATAATACTTAATTCCTTACCTGCGTAAGAGGGAGCCGTTTAAATCGTTGAATAAACGCTCAGGTAGCGTGCGTAGAAAATTGAATGTGAGAATAGGTGGAGATAATCTTGGCTTAACATTCCAGTCCCCGAGTCCTCTACGATTCAATTGATAAAGTCTCAGTTACAAAATGCACTTCCCGAGACTAATTGAACCAATAAAAAGTATGCGGGCGCGAATACATACTGTACTATACTGTTACATTATATTGACGAAGCCAGTTACTGATTAATTATTTACAATTTAATGCATTAATGTTATTGTCTGAGGGGAGACGGGGCTAAAGTGGACTCCCCTTCAGTGAATCAAACAAAACAATGTAAACAGTAGCCCCCAACCGTGATTCATTCATTTCGGATAAAGGTCATTTTAATAGGAAGTTATCATTTTGGTATCAAGTGTGAATCATTCTTTCAATTATTATTTTGCGTGACCTGCTTACACTTTTATTACTCAATATAATTACTTTTTTTCATTTATATTACAAATATGTTATTATTAAATCGAAAGTATTTAATATACATAGTATTTTTTATTGTCTAGCATGTTATGGCTTTTAAATTTTATTTTAACGAAATAGGCTGTATAATAACGGTGCAATACTTGATGTAAAAAAAAAGATATTATAATATTTTTTTATAGTAGTTGTTAGTTGAATTCATACAGTTATAAAATTTAAGAGAAATCTTACGTACATTTTTAGAATAGGAAGAATCTCGTTATCTTTATACCGTGTTAGTTTTCTGTTCACGCGAGACCACCCACGGTACAGGATTTAGATTCATTCAGTCGCGCCTCAAACTATCTTATTTAATTATATTATGATACCGAACGCAGCCTTTAATATTATTGGTTTTTTATTATTATGGAAGTTTTTGTGAATAATTTAATATGATTTTTTTTTAATTTTTGACTTGGTATGAGAATTAATATAGTTACAATCTTTATGTTAATAATCTTCATATTATATTCATTTTTATATGTATATACTATATTCGCCTTAAGCTGGTAACAATGACATATTTGAAATAGTCTTACAAATTCTCGGAAGGTATAAGTCAAGTCGCATTGTAGGTAAACAATATAAGGACGTCATACTGCTATTGTGCAAGTTGTCTGCCTGAGTAGGTATAGACGGGTGAAAACTATAGTATCGATACACCGGTAGGGGGAAACAATCGCGAATATCGATTACCCCGACACACCCAGTTTGTACGCACGGCACGTACATACAAACAACAATTACATGTATGTATTTGAACCCGATTGCAATGTATATTAAATAATTATGAATCATAACCACTCCGGTTCTATACGAATTGATTCTAAATTTACAAAAATCGATGATTTTAACATAGTGTTGTACAAGCAGGTATCGGTTAATTCAATAAACCAATCCAGTTCTCGTTGAATCGTATACGAAATGATTCTTAATTAAAAAAATCGATGTTTTTAACATAGTGTTGTACCAGCAGGTATCGATTATCGATGATTGATATATAGATGTTTTTTTTAAATATTCAAATGTATTATATGGTGGTCGTGTTCTGGCTCGTGATACAAATAACTACCGCATTCCTTTGCCTCAATATATTAATTAGGATCTCCGTTTTATTAAAACGTAACGTGTGCTATATAAATACGATGATTCATTGTTTGTATTGTAGTATATTCGTGTTTGGAATAATTTTAATCCCTACTAAAATTATAAATGCGAAAGTAACTCTGTCTGTTTGTTACGCTTTAACGCCTAAACAACTGACTTGATTTTAATGAAATTTGGTCATACATGGAGTTGACCTTGAGAAAGAACATAGGATAGTTTTTATCCCAGACTTTTGAAAGGTTCTCTTGGAAACGCGATATAACCGAACTCAACGCGGGCGAAGCTGCGGCTGGAAAGCTAGTGTGTTTATAGTTTTTAGTGCCTATTTAACCTTTAATTTTTTTTTCTAGCGGCCTGAACTTCCAAGACCTGATCGTACGTCAGGGAGCCATTGATTCTCCACCCAAGACGCCGTTCATCCTCGGCTTTGAGTGCGCTGGAGAGATCGAACAAGTTGGAGAAGGAGTCACCGATTTTAAGGTATTTGAAATAAAATAATTCCTTTTTTTTATAAAAAGATCGCACTTGGCTTATATTTAATGGACTTATTTTCCGGACGATTTCGCTCAATAAGTGTAACCTAAGCGTATTACTTACAGCATAAGATCGCCTCACACTTGACAATACAATGACATATGTGTCATTTCCCAGATGACAAGTATGTCATTTTATGTCACTCAACATATAAGCTGTGACATATCATTGTTAATATGACATTATTCACTATCTCGGGCAGTGGAATTATAAATAACTTCATATTAATACAATTCCTTATATAAATATAGCCATTGTTATGCTGTTAAGTCGTACCGTTCAAGGTTTTATTAAGTCTATTATTAAAAATGAGTTTATTATTCCCGCCGCGTTTATTGATATTGTTAAAGATGAATGTTGTATGCCGTTGCCTTTTTATTAAAAAGTATATTAGACCAAGCATCGTCTATGGTTCTATTGACCTGCCTAATTTGATTGAGATGTCACGCCCTATACGAATATTTTTTTACCGAAGCTTGTCATGTTTTTTTATAAGACGCGTATGAAATTAGTAACATATATTTCAAGTATTTTTTTATCGATTTCTCAAGTTAAATGAAAGTTATCATATTGTGGAAGGATAAAATATGGCGCAACAAGCAATAGATGAACACAGGACGTAACTGTAAATAATATTAATGTTAATAATTAAAAGTAAATTCGCAGTCCATTGACTTACTTTCATGGATAAAGGAAGGATGTTGTATTTTATGTTAATGGACCATTAAGTTGACTAACTTCGTAACCCTATACTAAATGTGAATGTCAGGAGATCTTTTTATACATACGAAATGTAAATAGTTAACTGTATACCACAGATAATGTATTAGTATTTTTTATAATTTATAAAAGTAGGTTTTATTTTAGTTTTTTTTTTATGTAAGAATATATTTGTGCACATTTGCGTAAAGGCATATTTTTTAATCTTTGAATTATTTTATGTTAATGTGTATATAATTCTACACACAGTCATACTTTTTCCATATGAATATCTATCTAAATTTTTGATGTCATCATCGTAACTCTAAATTCGAAATCTCTAAATATATTTAAAAAAACGCTTAAGAACCCATAAGTATATAAGATGATTTCACTGATTTTGTTTAATATCACTATTTTATTTTTTGTAATCTTAATTATAGTTATAATTTTTAAAATTTCCTTTGTTCTTTTTGGTAATAAATTTCTTTAAACCTAACTCAGGTCGGAGATCAAGTGGTAGCTCTGCCAGAGTACAAGGCGTGGGCGGAGCTGGTTGCTGTACCCGCTCAGTATGTGTACGTGTTACCGGAGGGTATGTCAGCCCTGGACGCGGTGGCCATCACCACCAACTACGTGGTCGCCTACCTCCTGCTCTTCGAAATGGCCAATCTGACTCCCGGGAAGAGCCTGCTCGTTCATTCCGCTGGCGGCGGCGTTGTAAGTAAAATTACTATATATATTTTTGTGTGGAAGACGGCCTACTTGATGGGCAATAGTTATCGTGGCCCATAGATGTTGAAAACATGGGTTATTGAGAAAGAATATAGGTGGGAATATGGAAATGGAAGGAAAGGGTGGGAACTTTCAAAGGGCAACCGGCTCTCTCTCTCTCTCTCTCATCAGACGAAATGCAGCCATTAAAGACTACTTCATTTTGATCTTCTGTGAGAGGGTGGTACTATCCCGGTCGAGTCAGACCATGTTCGAGCTGTAGTAACTTGACCACAGCTAAGCTTTACGAACTCACAACTAAAACTAAATTTGTTATAAAACCTAAATTACTCTCTTCTGAGATAAAGAATTATCGTGGTGATCATTAGTATAACAATAATTCATCATTTTTTATATATAATTAAACGAAGCCCATAAAATATGTCGCGTTTGTAGAGATTCACGTTGGTTTTTATTAATTCTAGAGTTTCAGTTACATTAACTATATAGGATTGCACAATACGAATGAAGCCTTCGAAGCACGACTGCGGAATCTGCAGTCAATTGAAAATACGTCTTTTATTCCGTTACAAAACATATAATAAAAAAATACTACGCTCTCTTTGTAGCGTTGGTTTAGTAAAATGAAATATTAATTGAAAATATGCTTTATATTAAATAGAATAGAAACTATTATTGATATGAAGTTTAAATGTGAAATCTTTGTTCTTTAATAAGGGAAAAATAAAATCCCGTCGCACTTGACATGCACAAATAAATGAATGTTTGCTAAATATAATCTTGTGCCATCGACCCTGGGAACTGTTTAATATTTACTCTGCATATAAATAAATGAGTGAAGGAGTTTTGTTTAAAAGAATATATGTTTAATGTCTAATTGCACTGAATTGGGTGAGAAAATCCTAGTTCGCTCTGGAATGTTCTCGCTTCCGCCATTACGTCATTAATTATGATGGGGTCAGTGAACCGTAATTTGAGTTTTGTATGATAGCCGTTGCTTAATTGTATCAACATATATGAAATTGTTTTCGTAAATTATACGTACGGCTCGAAACTAATTTGATTCAAACAATGTTACACGCTGATGTTATTATTGGTATCATTATACTTACTTGAAACTGAACTTTATTATTATTATATTATCGGACATTGGATGAATATAATTATTCCTTCGCTTGGTTTAAATAAAAAAAAATATTAAAATATCGGACATTGGATGAATATAATTATTCCTTTTGCTTGGTTTAAAATTTAAAAAAAAGTTATTATTAAATTATCGGACATTGGATGAATATAATTATTCCTTCGCTTGGTTTAAATTAAAAAAAATATATTAAATTATCGGATATTGGATGAATATAATTATTCCTTTGCTTGATTTAAAAAAAATGTTTGTAATCAGGGCCAAGCGGTGGCTCAGTTGGCGAAGACGGTTGAGAACGTGACCGTATACGGCGTCTGCTCCAAGAGCAAGCACGAGGCTCTCAAGGCCAACAACAATAATATCGACCACCTGCTGGAGAGAGGCAGCGACTACACCAGCGAAGTCAGGAAGTGAGTATAACGTTATGTACATCGTTTAAACTTTATATATATTTAAGTTTTTTTTAAATTTTAAATATGGAACGTTTTAAAATTACATTCAGCCAAAAAATCAACTTTCGATTTTATATAGATGATTGTTTTTGAATTTTAAATATGGAACGTTTTAAAATTACATTCAGCCAAAAAATCAACTTTCGATTTTATATAGATGATTTTTTTGAATTTTAAATATGGAACCTTTTAAAATTACATTCAGCCAAAAAATCAACTTTCGATTTTATATAGGTGATTTTTTTTTAATTTTAAATATGGAACGTTTTTAAAATTACATTCATGATTCAGCCAAAAAAATATCGATGAATTAAAATACCAATTAATTATGTATATCAATTACTTGTATATGATTTGTAAATCTTTTAAAGCATATACAAAGTTTTCAATATAGATTTATATTATGACAATTAATGTTAAGAAGTGAAGCTGCGAAGATAAATATTTGTGATAATCGTGGACGTTAATTAATTGCATTCCATTGAGCAGCGTTAACATTTTCAGTACTGATATGCTCTTTGTGAATCACGTCTTTATAAATGTAATGTGTATTTGGTGGAATAAAATTGTTGCAAATCATAACACGATTATAATTTAGGTCATTTTAGTATACATAATTAATTTAAAAGCAAAATTTCTTTGATTTGTTTATGAAAAGTGGTCTTTGGTAACTTTTTTTTTGTCAAACAAATTTTCTATCAAAAGTTTTACGATTCATTAAAGTGTGTGCAAACAAATTGATGTTGAATGGACGCTCGTAATATTTTTATTACGTCTTTTACGTTTTACGGCTATTCTATCGGACACGAGTGGCGATGAATTTAAAATTGCTCAAAAATAATACAGAAATAGAACGTCTTACATATCAGAGGTAATGCGTCGTGTATCAGAACTAATAATATCAATTGTACTTCAAAAAAATACCAAATAATTCATAAATAGAACATTTTTTTTCTGATAATGTATGAGGTATATATGTAAAAAAAGGTTTTATTATTTTAACGAGCATCCAAAGAGGTTTTAATATTAAATGATAATGAACAATCAGAAATTTAAAAATAAATTTCTTAATAAGTGCAAGACGTTCCAACAAATTCCATCGGATAATAAACCAATTGTTCTACATCCCATCTCTGTTAATTGCTTGTAATTAGTGTTACGTACTTCTGTCCCACCCGTATCGCTAGCAGCTCTCGTGTGAAGCCAGTGTAAAATGAACCGCGGCTCTGCTTAATGTCTTCCAATAGGGCTGTCTGTTATATAGTTATGTTTATATTATTTTTTGTTTCTATCCGTTCATAAGAAACGTTTTTGTACTCTTAAAATTACTTTGAACTAATCTCTCTTATATTTTCTACAAATTATTAAAAGGTTTTGATTGTGATGTAATTTATTTACATTTAAACTTTGTTGCTTATAGGAAGAATAATTTTAAACTAAAGATGAAAAGTCTTTTGTTATGATGTACAAATAAAATAACTATCTCTTAAGTAAAAACAATGTACCTAAATTATATCTAACACTTGTCCAATTAATATATATCTATACTTAAAGAGCCCTCAAGTCCTATGGGAAGACAGTGATGATAAAGTCAAGGTCTAATTACGTTGGCGACCAGCTAATTGATCCATTTATATAGGGTGGAACTAACTCGACGCATTTATCCTCTTAAATAGACAAATATAAAAATATCTTGCGCTATGTTCATTATAAACAAGTTTGTGTGTGAATACTTTAAGCCAGAAGCAGGCGTTGAGCATTATTACAAATACTTTTAGGACTAGTTTGAATCTGTCAAATTAAATACAGATTTTACCTAGTTTTTTCTTCTAATACTAGTACGTTTTTCTTTCGACAATACGAACTTATTAAGGATGCAATATAAATGTGTAGCGTACATTAAATAATCCGTTTTACTTCTGTATTCAGACTTCCATGAATATAAAGTGATGTTTGACATTCAGTCAATCACATATACATTTGCAAAACATCAATATGATATTGAGTCTCGTCTGAATCGATTCAGTGGTTTACTAACTTTATAAGTTTTATAGCTAACTTATATGTATTTGTAATCGATTTCGAGTTAATATTACCGAGAATATATTTATTTTATTTGGGAATATATATTTTTTAAATCAATCGATTTTTTTGTACGTCACTGCCCTTGCTGTCAATTTGATTAACTTGCTGACAATCAAAATGTCGGAGTGACAGATGTCATTATTTATTACCTAAATATACTGGGTGACTGGTGAATTACTATCGATATTTGAGGACGTGATATTTGACGATCATACAGGACAAAATAAAAATTAATATAACATAAATATTAATAAACTTCTGAGTAAAGTTAACCAAAAGTTATGTAATTAATTACGCATCGTGTGAACACCCTACAGATTAGGTATACGCACACACACACACATACGCGTTTGGCGGCGATGTGTTGTATCAGCACGCCGCCGCACGCGTCCACACTTGGAACACTTGGAACGTGTCAACACTTTATTTATTTATACGGAAATTTTGTCAAAAATTAAGTGCCTATTTTTTTTACATAATTCGAATGAGAATCGTGTACCGAGTATTCTCCTTAAATATTGATAGTAATTCACCAGTCACCCTGTATAAAAATGAATTGCTATTCGTCGTTAGTCTCACTAAAACTCGAGAACGGCTGAACGGATTTATCTTATCTTAGTCTTGAAATATTCGTGGAGGTTCAGGGAAGGTTTAAAAGCTGAAAAAAATTTATTAATTTCCAGGAAAACTAAAAAAAGCCCTTTTATATTTCCCATACAAACGTTTTTTTTTGACATTAGATTTGACAACTAACTAATATGTCAATCAATCTGTCGCATTTCAGAACACGGAGATTTTATATATATTTATCGATTGAGGCATTACGAGGTCTGTCGGATCAGCTAGTTGTTAAATATAAATGATTAACTGTAATCGTTTCTAATAGGTCTTCCCCCGATGGCGTGGACATTGTTCTCGATTGTCTGTGCGGCGAGGAGTGCAACCGCGGCTACTCCCTGCTCAAGCCGATGGGACGCTACATTCTTTATGGTACGTTATAAATATAGAATAAGTCATAACGTTCTAAGTAGTGGAAACAATCCTTCACTTTTAACGACCCAGCATTCGGGATGTAAAAACGATATGACTTAGAACCCGATATATGCGGCCGATTTTAAAGCGCTCGTAAAGGGGATCGAATAAAAAACAATATGGCCGCTCATATCTGCTAACGGGTTGTTGACGTTTTTGTGAAGGATTTTTGAAGTTTCGGTTAGCTGTGCAACGGTTCGGTTAAAAGCGTTTTATAAATATTTAAGTTTTATGTTTTATATGACAGGATCATCGAACATCGTGACCGGCGAGACTAAAAGCTTCTTCAGCGCGGCGCGTGCTGTGAGTATATAATAATACTCTCATCTGATTAAATAAAATGTCTTTCTTAGACCATGGAAATAAACTCATTTTGAGATCCTCTCTGTACCATAAGAATGGACGAGACTACAGTTTAACTAGCAGTTGAAACAAAATACTTTAAGAAACGAAACTAAAGTTTTTTAAAGAAACCTTCATACAAAGCCAAAATATACGTTTGTTGAGTCTTTCTTTAATGCATATATAAACAAATTATTACTTTGACCATAATGTACTCGATCTGTTTGAATCTTAAAGTAGTCGCAAATAAACAACGTATCAGTGAACACGTATCGTGGTTTTCATTAAAAAACATAATCGTCCTGCAATACAATAACAACTTTAATACCATAACAACGTTAAATAACATAACGTACTGAAATTAAGGATAAAATTGTGACATAGATGTATTCTTCGCAAATATTGTTAATTCCATCATCTCATTCAAGATATATTTATAATATGGCCGCTCCTAGTTTGCGTTTCTGACACCTGTCAATTGATCGTGATTCGTGACGTACAACTGACGTATGTCATTCATTAAATGAATGATGGCTCAAAAGACTAGTATCCAGAGCTGTAAAAACATTTTTAAAAAATGAATGAAACTACTGACTTGACCAATAAATGTATGAGTTTCTTTCGCCGGTTCTTCTCAGGTCAGGGTATTTTCTTTTCCGAACCGGTGGTAGCGTCTCAAGTGACCATCAATAAGAAAGTGTAATGCTTCTATACTGAATAGAGTTATTTGAGTTTGAGTTTTTTTATGGTTTTCTAATAAATGTATTTGTTCTCAGTGGTGGCAGGTAGACAAGGTGTCTCCGATCAAGTTGTTCGATGAGAACAAGAGCCTCGCGGGTTTGAACCTGCGACACCTGCTGTTCCAGCACGGAAGAGGCGACACTGTACGTCGCGCCGTCGACAGAGTGTTCTCGCTGTGGAAACAGGGACAGGTCAAGCCGCTGGTCGACTCCACCTGGGCTCTGGAAGACGTGAGTTGATTACACCTGGATTTATATTACACTAGCTGTGCCCCGCGGTGTTACCCGCGGATGTAAAGTAGCCTATGTTTCATTCCTGGACGTCACCTTCCTGTATACAAAATTTTATCAAAATCGCTCCAGCCGTTTGAGCGTGAACAAGTAACAAACATACACACACACTCACAAACTTTCGCAATTATAATATCAGTAGGATGTAAATTACTGCTGATTGTTTTTTTTTGTTCTAAGTTGGACAATAGTTGTCATAAAACAGTTTAGTCTTTTCGATTCTAACGTAACTAACTGTACATAATGTATTTTATTACAAGGTCGGTGAGGCGATGCAGAAGATGCACGACCGTAAGAACATCGGCAAGCTAGTTCTGGATCCGTCTTTGGAACCAAAACCTAAACCGGCTACACCGGCTAAGGGGAAATCCGGCAAAGAGAAGAAACCGGCTAAGGAGAGCTCTGAGGAGAAGAAGGAGAAGGAGACGAAGGAAGAAGAGAAGAAGAACGAAAACGGTGAGAAGAACGGTGAGGACATCACTAACGGTAGTGACGAAGGTCAGTCTCGATACAACTATGACCAGGCATGCGATAAGTAGACCTCGCATTCAAATAGCTTATGCTTACGCTTATAACGAGCTGTTAATATTATTTGCATATAAAGAATTTTTTTATTATTATGTTGCAAATTTGGGAGGTCTAAATTTTAGGTAACGCAGCCAAAACGCACATTACTGGCTTCGAAGCCGTCATGTCTAACAGTCTTTAGACGCCCGCTTGTTACAACGCTTATTACGTTTTTCTCTTACTACATGTTATACGAACTAAATACGAAAAGGTTACAGTTATACATTCGTAAACTTCAATTGATATGCAGGTTTATGAATGTAAAACTTAATATCATTCGTATTCAGTTCGATTATTCGAACACGTGGTAAGGGTAATATTTTATATGATCGTATTATAATTTATTTATTATTTATATATATATTTTGTTTTACCATAAACCATCCGTCTAAAGCAGGGTTTCTTAAAGTGTGGTCCACGGACCCCTTAGGGGTCCGTAGCAGGTGTATCAGGGGTCCGTAGGAGGTGAGTTTGCAAAAATATTTTTCAAAAAATTGTGTGGTGTGGGGCGCGGGCCCGGACTACAAGCTAGCGCGATGAGTCTTTGGCTTTGACCGTTATTGCGCAGAAATCAAAAATTGGGTATCGAATGCTATGATTGGCGGTACCCATGCGCAGTATCCCCTCCACTCTGCGGTCAAAGACAAAGACTCATCGCGCGAGCTGTATGTACGCGTGAGTTCTCGCCGCCGCCGCCTCGCCCCACCACCGCCCGCACCACCCGCTCGCTCACTCAGTCGCTGCGCGCCGCACGGCACATCGTACCCGCCACTTGCATTGTTTTTAATTAATTAGTGAAACGTACAGGTACGTAAAAAGAGGATTAATAATAATAAGTATTTTTTAATTATACATACAAACTTACATATTCAATTGTGTAACGTACCTAATTGTATATTACATTGTTTCAGTTTGTTCAAGAAAATGTCAAAGAAACGAAAGTATGACGAGTCTTATGTTAACTTTGGGTTTACTTTCGTGACTGAACGTGATGGAACTCAAAAACCGCAGTGCTTTTTATGCGGAAAAGTGCTTGCTAATGGAAGTATGAAACCAGCAAAGTTGTCAGAACATCTTAAAACTGTCCACCCTGGAAATGTATGTGACAGCATTGATGACTTTCGTACTAAGAAGGCTCGGTTTGAAAAAGCCGGCACTTTACCTAAATTAGGATTCACCCCGACACAAAAACCATGTCTTGAGGCATCGTACAAGGTTGCTTACCGTATTGCTCAGCAAAAGAAGCCACATACTATCGCGGAAACATTAGTGAAGCCTTGCGCACTGGATATTGTGGAACTTGTGTGTGGTAAGAATGAAAGAAAGAAGGTTGAAGCTGTTCCCTTATCAAACGATGTTATTCATTCTAGAATTGTTGAAATGTCGTCAAATGTTTTAAAGCAGGTTATTGAAGAATTGAATGCTTCACCGTTTCCGTTCAGTATGCAATTGGATGAAAGCACCGATGTATCACAATGCAGCCAACTCTTGGTGTTTGTCCGTTATGTAAAACATGATACGCGTAGTATCAAAGAGGAGTTTCTTTTTTGCGACTCACTTTTAGAAACTACGAAGGCTTCAGATGTCTTCGAAATGATAAAAAAATTTTTCATCGCACAAAATGTAGACTGGAAGACTAAACTTGGTAGTATATGTACCGATGGAGCTCCCGCGATGCTTGGTAATACATCTGGTTTTGCGGCTTTGATCAAGAAAGAGTGCCCTCATGTTATAATCACTCATTGTGTCTTGCATCGACATGCCTTGGCTTCACGAACTATGCCTACTTTTTTGAAGGAAGTTATGTCTACATGTGTCAAAATAATTAACTTCATCAGAGCAAGAGCCTTAAACCACCGCCTGTTTAAAAAGCTTTGTCAAGAAATGGGTTCAGAACATGAAGTACTTCTTTACTACACAGAAGTTCGTTGGCTGTCAAGGGGACAAGTATTGAAGCGCTTGTTTGAGTTGCGAGAAGAAGTGTTACTTTTTTCTGAAAAACAAAGAAAATTCATTGTATGAATATCTTGAAAGAGAAGATTTTGTGGAAGGGCTAGCGTACTTAGCTGATATATTTACTCATTTGAACGAGATTAACCTGTCTCTTCAGGGTTTTGCAGTCACCATTGTGGATGCGTCTGAACGGCTGAAAGGTTTTTTAGGTAAACTGCCACTTTGGAAAAGAAGAGTGGAATCAGGTAAATTTGCAAATTTTCCGATGTTAGAAGAGTTGATAATGCAAAAAAACCCAAAGTGACGGCCACACGACATCAAAGAAGGTACAGAAAGAGGTGTCTAAGCATCTGGAAACATTGCAGACGTCTTTTGAAGGTTATTTCAGCCCAGAGTCGCTTGAAAAAGAAACATGGGTGCGGAGCCCATTTTTAATCGATATTGACAGCATTAGTGATGAAGATCTTATTAAAGATGATCTAATTGACATGAGATCAAAAGAAGTTTTGAAAGCTGAATTTCAGGCAAAAGATCTTGGCGACTTTTGGGGTTCCTTAAGTCAAGCTTACCCTCTTCTAGTCAAGCGAGCTATGTCCATTTTGATACCGTTTGCTACTACGTATCTTTGCGAGGCAGGGTTCTCGATTATGATGTCAATAAAGACAAAAAGTCGCAATCGGTTGAACGTCGCAGATGACATGCGACTTGCCTTGTCGAAGACAGTCCCACAAATTAACGTTCTCATTGAGGCCAAACAACAGCACCCTTCTCATTAACTTAGTTCTTAATAATTGTAATGATTAAAGTTCAAATAAATAAAAGTATTTTATATAATATATAAGTACGGCTTTTTTTTATAACAATTTTTTTTGACAGTGGTCCGTAGAGTTGTTTAAATTTTGAAAGGGGTCCGTGACTGGAAAAAGTTTAAGAAACCCTGGTCTAAAGGCTGTTCTGAATGTACGTTTAGTAATTTGGTCATACGTTCGAGGTTCGACCACTTTATATAAGTTATATTTAATATTACAAATGATTTTTTTTTGCTTAAGCTTGCAAACGATATTTAAATTTTATATTATTCTATAGCTTCTATCATAAACAATTTGTTTATATTATTACTCTATATGTCAAATATAAGTGACAGATGAAAGATACAATAATAATAATTTTTTGATTGAGCGGAGTTTCCTGGCACAGGCTTTTCATATGCTTAAAAGGAAACTCCGATAACTTTATATTTAGGTACATACAAACTTGTTAAAGAAAATAAAGAATTTTTATTTTATTTATATAATAATAATGATTATATTTTTCAGAGTCCAAGGAAAAAGAAAAGGAGAAGGAAAAGGAATCCAGCTGAATGGTTTCTTCGTAGACCTGGACCTCTAAGACCACCGTCAACTGATTATTTTATAATATACATTGACCGCCTCCCGGCGTCTGCTGTGTTGCCTCGTTAATTTACTTCGTTCATAAGTCTGAGTGGGACGTCACCTCGTTCGGACGCGACCACGTTAACTTTAGTTTACATATTATTATTATTATTATTTTTTACATCTATCATCACATATTATAGTGTTATTTACGAGCGTATTTTTTTAATGATTACAATATTTTTTTAATGCATTATTTTATTATATTTTTTTTTTTAATCTGGCCTAATTTAAGTTTCCGAACCGTCGAGTCTTATAGTTTAATGTTAAGACTATTTTAGGATGAGATATTTTAGTCTGCGGTTATTTTGAATGGCTATTGTATATGTAAGGTGCAGAGATGCTTAATCTTTATGTATGTTAAGCTTTAATATTTTATTAGTAAATGTTTAATATTTTCGGCCCCGGAGACCCACACCCGCCCTCCCGTCGCGGGTCACTCACTCACTCACTCAATCGGTCATCATTCACTCTCTTTCGCCGCACTTTTGGTAATACAAACGAAACCCTTTGTGTGATATTTTGTAATAGGCATGCTAGATTTTTTACGATGCCTTTATATATTATTTTTACTTTGAGCTTAAAAGTCAGTTGAGTGTTTTATAATTATATTTTTTATACTTAGACGTTTTGTACATTATTTTCTAGTTAAGAAAAATAACAAAAAAATAAATTAATACCTTCTTCAGCTGTCTATAGCGTCGGTAAATTTTCGATCGGACGAAAGTGTTTTCTTAAATTTGATATGAGGTCATATTTTTATAAAGTAAACTAAACTCGTGACACGATCCTTTGTATGTTTACACTCTTATATCACATATCTAACACACCTTAACACTGTATATTAGACTAACGTTTTGATAACAATATTCACATAGATTTCTTTATACCTAGCATATATTAAAGGACTTGAGTTTTAATGTTATAACTATCCGCCATATAGTGTACAGCGTGGATGTAGCCTATGTATAACGTACCCAGTACTATCGAACTTTGTATCTGTATTACATATCAAGAGCATATTGTCATATATATCTGAAAGGCTGAAGTAGTCCGGAAATACCGGAATAAAACGAAGCTCTGGTTTCCAGATAGCATACGATCGGCTCAATACGATACCTGCCATTGTTTACGCCGACACAAACATAATTATGTTCGGACGTGTAGCATTTTTATACAATTTTTACCTTTCCGATATTTAGCACGAGCATGATTTGCGTTGGCGCGTAACTCCGACCTTCGTATCACTAAAAGTGTTTGTCGAACGCCGCTGAGATCCCGCGTGTAGTGTGCTTGTATCACAGTGGCTTGGTGGTGCTAGGTTATTGTGCGCGGACACGGCTGGCTTAAGTGTTCTCGGACCAATATCTTAATGCTTAGTCTTCGGTATCTTTGTCGCTTTGTGTCAAATATGTGCGAATTTCTTAATGTTAACGTATATGATTAAATCTTAATAAATTATTGTGTATCGACTATACCTGTGTAATGGTTTAGATTAATTTGGATTCTCTTTTTATATATAGCTGACGATTTCGATGTCCGTTCTGGTTGTCGTCGCCGCGCTGTCAGTGAATGTGTCCAAATTGTTGTAGGTTTAGTAACTTTTTGAATCCAGTATTTATTGCGGGGGGACGCCATTGTTGGCGTTTGACAGGCGACGGCGTCAGTTGGCGCGGATGTCGCTTGACGTATTACACATTTATTTTTGTAAGGGCGGGCCAGTGTGATATCTATAGTATGAAATGGATAAATAAATATGTATGATCTGTAAAAATGCTTAAATGAGTCTTTTATTTAATACCCCTATCCATAGTTCAGAATAGATTAATTTATTTGGTTTTATAAATATAAAAAAAATAAACCCAAATCCAAAAGTGTGCATTTTTCGCATTTAATGTTCACTATAAAAGCTGAAAATGACATTGTTATAAAACAGCGAAAAGTATGAATTCGATCCTAATTAAAAGGCGGAGAATATCTTCCGAAAACTTGTAATAAGAGCAATTTTTCACGTTATTTCATTTGTGTCCTCCGCTACTTCAAAATATGGAATTATTATCTCTTCTAGAGTATTATAAAACTAAGGTGTTTATACAGGGTGACTGGTGAACTACTATCTATATTTAAGGAGAATACTCGGTACATGATTCTCATTCGAATTATGTAAAAAAAATAGGCACTTAATTTTTGACAAAATTTCCGTATAAATAAATAAAGTGTTGACACGTTCCAAGTGTTCCAAGTGTGGACGCGTGCGGCGGCGTGCTGATACAACACTACGCCGCCGCACGCGTATGTGTGTGTGAGTGTATACCTAATCTGTAGGGTGTTCACACGATGCGTAATTAATTACATAACTTTTGGTTAACTTTACTTAAAAGTTTATTAATATTTATGTTATATTAATTTTTATTTTGTCATATATGATCGTCAAATATCACGTCCTCAAGTATCGATAGTAATTTACCAGTCACCCAGTATAATAAATAAAGTATTTGCATTATCTGAATATTACATTATGGAATTACATAAATAAACTGAATACGTTGAAAATAAAACAAATTCATAATTTAAACTTTAATCAAAATAAACACCATAGACAACGACATTAGCGAATATGTGACAGTTTTCAAAGCTATGAGCGGCGAAGGCGTCACGCTCGTGGTCCCAAAGGAACGAATGAAACACATTCACACTCTGCTGCCGACGCTGGCCTATTGACACAGCTACTATAATCCTGTATCTGAAAATTAAAATAGATATTAAATACTAAAAAAATATTATTTGGCTTAAAAATTAACTGTATTATAACTTTACTACAATTGAATGTAATACATATGCTTATTTTAATCACGTTCGCTATAAAATGTGTTATATTTTGACTGTTATTATTTTTTTTAATTATAATCTCTTGAATTAGTAAAGATTTTACTTGGAGATTGATTGAAATAATTTTTATAATAAATTTGTAAGTCTCTTTTAAGATTATAGTATTATAAATTTAAATCTATATGTATATAGGAGAGGCGGGGATTCTAATGGAACCGGAAGTTGGAGATCTTAATACCTTCGAATCTTGGTGTTCGAATTCGAAATTTGAATTCCATTGATGAAGAACGATTTTTCAATTTGAAGATAAAAATAATCTTTAATCAAAAAACTTACTATAACTTTATTGCTAAACCTTTACAATAGTTGTTGAGAACTGTACAGCAGGGATTTAACCACTGAGACTTCTAACAGCGATCAATGTAGAATGAATTCAATTCGACTATGGTTGAACTATGTCATAAATTCTTTTCTACAATTGCATCTCATGCATTACTGACATTATTCACATCAATAAAGTGAGTGATTTGAAAACAATTGTCATCTTACTACTAATGAACGAATATACCTATATTTGAAAATAAATATTTTGCACATATAAAGCTCTTCGGCGCTACATATACATATAATATTTTTCTATAAATAAATGAAGTAGTGCTACGTTTATAGGAGAAATACCAATTTTTTTTTGATAATTAATGCCTAGCTACTTACCTAGAAAATTCTCGGGCATGATATGACTAATTTATATTTGTATAGACTACGATCTGAGTAAAAAAAACAGTATATGGAAACCTCCATACTTAGAGAGAAATTCTAAGGTATGTAACCTAGCAACCCAGATTACAGGCTGGTATTGAAAAAGCTTCAATACATAATGAACATATGATTTAATTAACCGTAATTATAATGGAACATTTTTAATACGATTTGATGAAATATGTAGTTAAATATAAATTCTGATAATGAATTCATGCCTTGAATTAAATTGAGGACTAAAAAAAATAAAGAAATAAATTCTTAAGAAGTCTCAATTTCAATTCGTTTGAAATTGTATCATTGTAATATATTATCTTAATGGTAAACATAGTAAGTACATATTTGAATTACGATATTTCTTGTCATAGCTCATAATGACAAAGTAAGAACATTTTCATATAATTATAAGTATTTATCAATGAAAAAGTAAAAATTAGATAGCGTTTAAGAAACTATAGCAAAAAATAATATGTAAAATGGATTTCAGAATTTTAACGGGACAATAGGGACGTATGAAATAAAATAGTCCTTTCTCAAAAAGTCAAAAATTATTTTAATAATAAGTGAATCTAGTTCGCTACTTTTAAAATGATTCTATGTTTGTGAAAGTAATTTGCAGTTTTATTATTTTATTTTACATTTAACCAACCGTCATCCGGACAGACGAGATAAAAGTGTCTACTGTCTCTCAATATTAAAGTCTTATTATTTGTCATTTACCGCCAACGATAACTATTTTCTAGCGTTCTGCTTTGGATGCAAGCAGAATGAGTTAATTGTATCTTGAGTTATGGCAGTGTGCTCACGGACGTGTGATTTTATATTTTTGCTTAATATCTGGCTACATCTGGTTCCTTTAAGAGTGAACTTTATATACAAGTAAATGGAGTTGTCATTGGTTCACCAAATGTCGCTGATATATTCAAAAACTTTGACATGCGATAACTTTGCTCTGTTCCAATCACACCCTTAATGTATAAAGGTTATGTAAGTGACACGTTCACATTATTACTTAAGATACGACGTGTTTTTCTCAATGACTTTAATTTTATCAATCCTAAGATCTAATCCACTTTAAAATTAGAGCTGAATAATTCTTTAACCTTCCTGGATATACTTGGTTTTGGGAATCGTCACATTACTCTGAGATATACTGCTTATAGAAAATCCACACATATGGATATCTCAATGGAAAATCACGGCATCAGCCGAACAAGTTGGTTACTATTATCAAATATGTATGTCGAGAGAACCCAAAGGCCAAAAGCATAGTGATGATGTAGACCTAGGGGTTAAGCTGCTTTAAGTAAATCATGCTCTAAATACCAACACCTGTCAATACCACGCCAGAGTCACAAGAACCATTTGAAACTTGCCATACTTAATCGATAATCCTTAACTTGCCATACTTAATCGATAATGTGAACGGAGCTACTGACGGAATGGGCAACATCTTGAAGAGATTTCAGTTAGGTAAAACAATGTATGAACCACCTCAAAACAGTGAGCCAATTATTGAGACCTATTAATAGTACAATTCTTTAACATAAAACGGATGTAGAATAACTTGATTATGATTAGACAAACGAAGAAAGATATCGGTACAAGAACTAAATCAAATAACACGGATATTATAAATATGTTTGCGTCGAAGACAGCAGTGTGTGAACAAATTGTGGGCACACCAACCTCGTGAAAATAGAAACATTAAGTTTAAGGCAAGGCAATTGAAATTAAAAACCACCTAATTTCAACAGTGAAGATGGCTGGCGAATAACTACCATCTGCGAAATCCTCATCCATAATGTAAAAACCTGTGTCTGTGATCACCCTTTCAGTCTTCAAGATCTAGTAAGTGCATTCTACATGCATTCGGAGCAGTACGCAAGAAAATTAAGATATCGTTGGCGGTAGATGTCAAATAATAACAAGACTTAGGTACTGAAAGACACTTTCAGCTCGTCTACCAGTGGTTACAGTTGGTGTAATCGAAACTTTCGGAAATATAAAATATGATAATAAAACCGCGAAATATATTCGTTAAACATAGTTTTATTCTCAATGTGTAGGTACTCGCGAAAGTCTTAGATATTATTAAGTTACTTAATCAATATTAGTAATTGGGTACCTTCAAGTCAATTCTACGTTCATTCATGATTTATTTGCTGGGATTGCTTGTACTTTTTCTATAGCAAAAACAATAGCAACAGGATAACAGTGAGACGCCAGCAATCAAAGGCAAAATGTACATCATATTGATCGATTTTATTAATTATGGGAACATAATTTTTAATTTTCCTCACGTTTGTACGGAAAGGTGTTTTTGTTGAACAAAATATTTACAGATCAATGTGTCACCTGTCATAATTCTCTTCTTTAATCGCAGCTTTAATGTTGTCAGCCAAAGTGATACACAAGTCTGGTATAATTTTTTCACTATATTCAACCTCCTCCAATTCCGAGTTAACGATGCGTCGTAGTATTTTTTCAACGTTTTCTGAATTAAATCTCTTTTTTGGATTTAGTTGATAGGTCGGTTGATATATTCGCACCTGTTTCGAACACGGTTTATTTACTGCAGACATGTTTGTTTAATCAATAATATTGTAAAGAAATTACCTTACTAAAACATTGTACATAATATGTGTACCATATAGGATGCTATTAATTAAAACTCTATCAGTTTAATCATCGTTTTTTTCGTTTCTAATTGATGTAAGAATGAGACGATAAATAACATTTAACAGCCTATCAAATATTTTTTTCTCACTCGAGTCTATGAATGTAATTGCTTTTAAAAATGTTTTTAACGATCAGCTAAGTACATTAAGTTATAAAACATTAAAATTACCATTTTTTGTTTTGCACTCGCTTGACGACCTATAACAATACCACTCATTCGTAATGATGATGATCTTCGATATTCTCCAGACATTGCTTTTTTATAATATAAATAAATAGAATATTAACTTGGCAAAGTTATTATTTTAATTAAACAATACAAGGAAGCCTCCGAGTTTTGCAATGTCAACAATCTTATCTGGTTAAAAAAATACTATGCTTGCCCATTATTTGTGAAAATACAATATTTGCAAATTTCAAGGGATATTACTTTCAGACCACTTAATTATCTCTAACTTGATCAAATTTATAATTGTACTGTTTAAAAATATTGTCATAAACAAAAGTTTTGAAGAAAATCGCAGTTTCTTACTTAATAATATATATTTTTATAGAGTAGAGTAAGGTAAAGAATGATTTTTTCCTAAATTACTAAAAAAGTAATTCATAAATGTTTTGCTACTATGTCTAAAATAGTTTCATATTTTAAGATAAACATTTTTTTGTTGGCTACTCGATATTATTATGTTTGTCATTACAAATATTACCTGTTGAAATTTTCTGTCAGACTGTCAGCTGTCATTATTAGCATTTGCCATTAGACATTTAGTATCAAAGCGAACTTTACAGTGGAAGTGTTTGTATGTTATATTTAATGATACGGTGCGATGCTCTGTTTTGCCGTAAAAGACCAATTTGGCTCCAGAAAAAGTCCATAATAAAATAATCAATTATTATTTATTTAATACCATTACGTATATTTGGAAGTTCGATATAAATGTGCGTGGTTATTTGTTTATATCTCTTCTTGCGGTTAGACTTTAATATCGTTTTATTTTGTGATATGATTTTTAATGACGTAAACCTCAACTATTAAATATCTTTGAACTTCTGTATTTAGAATAAAAGTTTTTCTAAGTGAAATATGAATAATCGCGCAACTATAGACGTCTTTTTCAAGAATCAAAGAAAAAGAAAGAGTTTACACTTGAAGATAAAACCAAAAAATTCTTCGAACATGAGTGTTGAAAATCTCAATATGTCTGCACCGATTGAGATAAGCGATGATGAAGTTACTGTTACTGATAAGAGCAACAATAGTATAAATACTACAACACTGAATTGCTCTGATGCTTCGGAAGACACCGAACCATATTCACTAGACAGCTTCATTCAAACACCATCAAAAGCAATAAATATAACAAAAACACCCACAAAAAAGTCTCCTAGTTCCACATCGACACCAAAATATTTTTCTCCCTCTAAAAAACGCTGCGTTTCATTAAAAACAAGCCCAAGAAAAGTGAAAAGAAATTTAAATTATGCTTTAAAAGATTCTAATATTGTAAAAGCAGATGAAGAAAATGAATTTTATAACTACACAGAAGGCTTAGATGACAATAGTAAATATATAAACATTTTAATATATCAAATATAATATAAAATTATTTTACTTAATGCTACTTAAATAATGTTTCAGCTAAATTTCTGTTAACAATCATATACAACTATTTACAAGACGATTCTTTGAGGCCACTTTTAGATGAAAAGTCTGCGGCGTTATTAAAAAGCAGTCTTAATGTGATGAAACCAGGGATGAGAATTGTTTGTAGACTGTTCTGGCGACACGGGGTCTGGTATAGATTGGAAAATATTAAAAAGATTGCTGAAAGTAAATCAAATATGGAATGTTCAACAATTCATGAGGTTTTGAATTCATTGATAGAACAAGGTTTTTTGGATGCCCTCAACCCTAATGGTAAGAATTTTTAAGAATTAACAACAACCACATTAATAAAACATAGGTTTTTGTAATGTATGTATGTAATAAAATTATTTTTGATGATAAATTAAGTGATATCGCCAACAGATCATCGAGACGTCTTAACTTTTGATGAGCTCATGGATTTATTGAAAGCCGACGAGTTGAAAGACATATGCAAGTGGTTTAAACTTAAAGTTACTAAAAAGGATGAAGCAAAGAATGCATTGAAAAAGTTTTGCAAACAAAAAGTAACCATTACAAGCTTCTTTGTGGGCGGGGGCAGCAGTGGTAATGAAAACAGGGTTATGAAAGCGTGAGTTTGAGAAATTTCTAGAAAGTTCCAGAAAAATATTAGTATAAACTTATGCAATCTGATTGCACTTTTATTACTTCGATACAATCAATTATGAATCCAAATTGATCATAATCTATCTAGTATTTAGATTGTTTTATAAAAAAATATTAATAAATAATTATTATATTTATTTCAGCTTAAAAACAAAAGTTGGTTGCTGTTATAAACTCACAGATCTAGCGAGGACGACTCTGAAGGAGCTTTATATTTTAATGTACTTGGGTATGGATTACAATATAATACGTGAAAATCAGTTGGAATTGACATTACTTAATGAGAAAATTAATAGAGAAACATACCCCATACCTAAATGTATGGTGACCGACAATGCTAGTGTTGTATTCAAAGATAGGCAAGAGTTTGAAAGGTAAGAAATTATATTTTTTACTGAAAATTAAGACTGATTTTATGTAATATATATCTTTGTGGTGCTATAAGAAAAAAATAGAATATATGAGGTGAAATGATTGTGTGTAATAAATATATGTATAACTAATATTTTTGAATATGCAAATTAACCACCCTTATAATATTATCTGAATATGAAATTTAACAATTAAATTAAAATCAAAAGTATATTATGAAAAGCTAGTGATTCTTTGTTATATAATATATTTAACAATTCTGATATGAATGTTTTATAGTAATACCTGACAGATTACATATATTTTTTATATATGTATATGCAATAGAGTTACTTACAACTAATGTTCATTTTTTTATTTGTATTTGGACAATGAGTAATCATTACTTAATAGTATTTAAGCTTCATTAATTTGTGTACAAGCGTACGTTATCGTATTCACAAAACAAACTTTCGATAAAGTTTTGTTAGGAGCACCAAAAACTTCTACTTTAATTTTATTTCATAACTAATATTTAACATTTGTTTAAACTTTTCTTTCGTGATATTTGTAATTCAGACTTTTTATTTTTATTAATGGCTTGGAAGCAACATGGTTTCATATTACTTTATAATTATCATAGTTTCTTGCGAAATCACATAACTTTATATCTTCGTATTTTTATATACCATAAAGAATATTCATATAAAAGGACTTTAATAGAAAAAAAGTATTAGGAACATAAGTTCATTTAATTTTTTTCCTGTATTGAAAATCTTTATTATTATATATTATTATATAACATATTTAAGCCATATTTACTCGGTTATTTGAATTCGTTTTTTATATTTCCAAAACGTATAATTTTTTGCTATTGTTATTTCAAAGAACGGTAATTAAACTACAGGCACGTAGCACGATATGCCTTTTCATAAACTTTGCTAGAAATTGCCGCTGTTATCGTTAGCTGGTAACCTGTTGTGAGTTACTAAGTGAAAAGTAGTTCAGAAAAATTATATTTGAACTATAAAAAAAAGCATATATGTATCATGCAAAATATATTTAACATAAAAAAAAGTTTTGTCATTTATCGTTATGTATTTTGTCAAACTACAATTATCATTAAACATAAAGCAAAAATGTCTTTCTCAATACTTGTAAGTCACAGTTTTAATGAGTGTAGAAGTTATTTTTTTGATCTCTTTTTTTTCTTACAACAAAAAAGTTTATATATAGTATTTTATTAGTAGATTATGTATAATTAAAGAAGGTTACATATATTATTTCAGGTATCTTCGCGCGCATGACATTTACGAAGAATTCCTCGCGACAGTCGAAACTGTACCTAAGTGCGGGATTGTCAAACGTGTTTATGATCTGTACAATTCCATTACGGACGAACAAATGGAAAGGTAAAATCTTACTTATGTTATATATATAGAACTTTGTGATTATGTATGAATGTTCGTTGCACTTTCATGCAAAAACCACTTCACTGATTCTGATAAAACTTTACGGTTATATAGCTTAGATATCAGAATGAGACAAAGGATATAATTTCGTGTCGTTCTACGTAATTACGTCATAAGTTATGTTTAGTGTGAAGTTACATGATACAGAGTATAGATGTCGCTGCTGGTTCAATATATGTATATCTAATTATATTGTAGTACATATGTAGCACATGTTACTCTCTGAGTAAAATTCTCAGGTCTACGCGGATGAAGTCGCGGGCAATAATTAGTATTATTTGAACTGTTCAATTATTTTATATAAAACAATAAGTAAACACTTCTTATATACTAAAATTATATGATAACGAAAGTTATGATAATTTCTAGTATAATTTTCAATATGGCTCCAACGTAATTATTCCCATTAAATAAATTCGTTTGTAATCTTTCGTGGAAATACATCTAAACGTGGAAATCGCGACAGTGTTGCCACCGCCCCTAAAACGTGTGGTCTTATTAAGTAAAAATATAATTAAGAAAAACTAAAACTACCTAATTAAGAAAAACTAAATACCTGTACTGTATAGTTTTCCATTCATAAAACTTCACACATGATAATTTTATAGCTGTATACCGCTGTTATCTGGAAAAATCCGTACTTATTTTAAAGAGACTAACTTACGGTCATTCTAAAGTATAGTAGGCGGCACGTATTGGCTATTGGGGACAAGTTTGCGCATGTACACTTAGTGCAACAAAAAGTGGTCACGTTTATAAATAATAAAATCGTAACAAAAACAATGGATCCAATTTAAGTGTACTCGGGATAGAAAATCCAATCACTTCAACACATTAGATGTATGCAACCTAACATCGTATTACACGCATGTATCTTCTCTTACTAAATTACGTGCCGGCAACTATATGTACTTAGGGACATGAAATAACTAGTAGCAATAATATAGCAAGAATGTCATTCAGAAATATTCAAAAAACAATAAATCTGTCCGCAGTTTCACCAAAAAATCTCAATGGCTGCTACGCTTCACTCCACCGTATAAATACATAAAGATATTAGAAGAAGGCATACAATATTTAAAGAAAGATAAAGTGACCGAAAACTTAGATCTGGCTGTTAAAATATTAACGTTACTTATAAAACAAAACGCATTCAGACAACATAAAAAAGCCGGTTGGTATTCTGAAAAGGCGCTTATTGTTGATAAACTACTGTTATGGCCTGACGAGGTAAGACTAATCGATTTACATAATCAATAAACCTTTTAATAATTGCCAGTGCAAAAAAATATTTATTTAACAATTATTATATGGCAATGATTGTGAAGGAACTTTTTTGTTAATATTTCAGGCTGCTTCAATACTTTTGGAAGGTTTTGAAGCTGGCTTGCCAGAAGAATCTCTGGAAGTTTTGAAAGTAAGAGCTAAATTGCTGGTACAGAGAAAGACTAATGGTGTTACCGAGAACTTGAAGCAGAAACTACAGAAATATATAGAGTGTAACGATGTAGTTGAGAAGAACATAAGAGCTAACCATATATATAAAGTGCCCATGTGGTATGTGTCTTATTATATAACATAATAGTATATAAAATCTAAGAAATAATATTTAAAAAAAATATTATAATGACAGGTGACTTAATGAGCAATGTGAAGAATAACAACATTTAGTCTTAGTATTAAATTAGTATAAATTTATATTGCCACTGATGTAAGCACTGGGGATGAATTCTTTTTTTAAATTAAGTTAATTATCATAGGGTTGGTTTTTCTATGGTTTTTTTTTAACAAATTATATATTATTTCAGTTCACCTGGAAGAGGGAAGATCAAATTTGAAACCCGAACGGAAATGGGAGTGAATATACAAGATGCTGAGGAATATTGTATTGACTATTACATTAATACAGGGAAATATACACATGGTAATTATATATATGTGGAATTGAATATTTTTATAATTGTATATTTATTACATGATACTTCAAAACAGCAGTAAAATGTCATATTATATGGTATAATATCTATATGTATAAATTTATTGTACTACCAATATTCTTCAATATTTAAATAGCCTATTAACTGGAATATTTAAGTACTATATTTGATAATTACCCATACTTTTTATAATTTTATTTATGTTTGGATATTCTTGTTCAATAAATTGTTATAAATTCGTAACTGACAGCAGTCAATTAGGAAAATCTAAAGAGGAATGTTCTTAAATAATTATGGGATTGGAATGTAGTATATTTTATGTAATCGCAAACCAATTTTTTTTTGAAAGTGCTTTTTAGTGACTAGAAATCTACTTGAAATCGTTATTGGTACTAAAATTTGTAAGCAAAGAGGATTATTCAATAACTCATATTATATATGAAGTGCCCTCTCATCTTTATAATATTTTTTCCAGGTGGCCATTGGGAAGGTCGTATTTTAATGACTATATTTTTCCTTCTATTCTGGGACATTATATACAAGTCGATACAAGGACTTCAAGGCATCTTCCTCTCACACTACCAAATGTTCCCGCTAGATATGTTCACAGATAGTTTCTACAGAAACAGAAAGACGTTGATTGACGAAAAATTAAAAGAAATCAAGGAATCATCAACAGAAGAACTGATTGAAAAGATGGAATCAGTGTGGAACAGTAGGCCGGAAAGTCAGTATACATAAGATTATGTTATAATATATATATGGATGTTATTGCTACAAACAACATTTAGGCATTTTAAATTTTATCCATCTAATGTCAGTAAATTTTGGTATTTTAATAAAAATTATATATATATTTACAGCTATATAAATACTATTCATTAGCATTGTAGAGCTGACATCATTGTCTTAAAACATAAAAAAATATATATCTAAATAATTCTGCATATAAATTCGTTTTAATTCAAACTAAATTATAATATTGAATTATTAAATTCCAGGTGAATTATCAGGCATCAATCGTTCTATAACATGGGCTCAGGTTGCTGGAGTGTGTACATGTTTGGGTGGAGAGAGAATATCTTCTCTGGTGAGGAGGTTGGCTGTAACAGGGGGACGGACACAGAGCGGGGTACCTGACCTTACTATGTGGAACGAAAATACTAGAGAGGTATATAAATGATTTTTTTATGGTAAAGGGGGCAAATATGCAGACGGCCTACTTGATGGGCAGTAGTCATGGACATTTATAACAGAGATGTTGGAAAAGCGTTGAAAAAATTTGATTGTTAGGAATAGGAAAGGGTGGGAATAAGGGAAAGTTAAGAAAAGATGAGAATAGGGATAGGATAACCCTATGTAACCGGCTCTCTCACTCATCGGACCAAACGTAGTCATTAAAGGCTACTTCACGCTGATCTTCTATGCAAAGGTGGTACTTCCCCGGTCGAGCCAGCCCATGTTCGAGCTGTAGTAATTAGACCACCTCACGAATTACTATTGATAAAGAAAATACAAGACAATTCTTGTTTGCTTTACTTTATGAATGATATAGCAGCAAAAAATGATGGATTGACTTTTTGGGAACTGTCCAAACTTATTCCAGTGTATCTGTAGTATATAAAAATATTGACGTCACTTCTCACTATTTATGTAGTGGAATTAATGTTATAATGCTATGTTGATATTTGACTGGTTCATTATTGATGGATTAATTGTTCATATAGATGAAATATTATGAAAAATACTAGACATTTTGTATGATAAAATAAATAATTGTCATATTAAATTAAATATCAATAATATCTCATGTATATATATGTTGATTTCCAATGCAAAATATACAATAAAATGAATCTCAACAGTATACAACCTAATTATTATTATTTTGACTTACAGATAACATTCGTAGAAGTGAAAACTGACACAGACAAGCCATCAATAAAACAGATACTGTGGATGCATTACATGAAGCAACACGAAGTTGACACGGAGTTCTGTTACGTCGGAGTTAACACTACGAGATGTAAGGCAAGGAACAGGGATTCAGAAATATAATAGTTTGTGAGAAACTTAGTTATTGGTATAAAATAGGAAGGGATAGAAATTGACTTTAAAGGAATTATTTGTGTTACTTTAAGACAAACTTTATAAATATTACTTACAATTCGCAATTGATTCCAATCGCTCTAGTTTTATAGGTTGCGTTAAAAGTTTAGCGCAACCTTGTTGGAAGTAGCATAAGTTTACAAGTTATAAAGTAAATATTTGGTACATTGAAAGAAGATGTTAATATCAGTAATGTACAGATATAAGAAATAACGAATTTATATTATATTATCCATTAATAATGTTTCGTTTAAGATGTAGGTGCAATACCTACTAATGACTTGGGACTTCTAAATAATTTGCATACAATTTGATAGAACTGACAGACATTTATACTTTTTTAATTTTTTAATAAACAATTATACTTTTGTTAATCTTCAAGTAAATCAGATAGTTTTATATCAAATTATAATTAAAATTGTTTTTTATTAAAATTGTGCATGTTTTTAAATACTTTAACACAGTAATATTGTATTAAATAATGAATCTAATTATTTTTTTTTGTCATTTAATGTTGAAAATTTGAATCTCTTATTTGCTGAGACTATTTTTACAGTAATCATGTCTACTTTTTGTAGATTTTTTGCTACATGTGTTTATTATTAACAGTTCAAAGCTAATAAAAAAACAATTTATCTGGAGATATAAAACATTTGTAAACTTATTTGCATTTTTTACCTTTTAATTGAGTAAATATTAATAAGTAATGTATTTGTAGCTTTAAAGTTATTTTGTTCTTAGTTTTAAATCTTGTTATTTTGTTTTCAATTAAGTTGCATTTGTTATAAATACTTATATTTTGTAAATTTGTGTACCATTTTTTTGTTTAATTTTAATTTTGCTTAGTATTAAGTTCTAGTATGTTTTTAAGCATAAATTGTCCGAAGAGAACAACAAGTACAAGTATTTAAGGTGCTTCTTTTAAATTTTAAGTTTTATCTGGGAAAAATCCTTTAGGTTTAAGAAATTCCATTGTGAGACAATATCCAAATTTTAATTATAACTGAATAAATACTATAATAATGTAAGCGGTCCATCATATTTTTATATATTACTGTTAAGAAATAAATATTTTTTATTATACTTTGAATAATTATAACCTTGAATGTTTCATCTGTCTTATATATAGTATCAACTTTAATATAGATATACATTTTTACTCTGGTGAATTTGCATATGTTTTATATTTAAAAATAAAACTGATAATCTGGATATTTGCTTTAATTTTACCAAAAATACGGAAAATAATCTTAAAATCATATTTAAAAAATTACATTTATAACGTATATTCATGAATTATATATCAAATTACAGCAAATTTTTTTCTATTAATTATCATATATGGGTGCCTCATTAAATCTGGGCGCATATAAGGTTTGCTGGCTGTTGAAAATTATAAATATTTAAGGTAGAGTGAAAGAGAGTTAGCGCGTAACATCATTTATCAGACGAGGATAGCGAATACCAGCTTTGCCACACTTAAGTCATTGCGCAAGAAAAAATCGTAGCTGTTTACACCTGGCTGCGAAAAGGTGCGGCTAGGTGAACAATGGCAACCGTGATTTTTTAGAATCTTATCATGAATAGTTTTTTTTTAAAAACAAATAAAAGGAATTTTTCCCCAAAAATAAATTTAAAATAATTAAATTAAAATTAATTTCGGCCAAATTTTGATAGGCAACCTAAATAGTAAATATATGTTCTCCTAACTATAAATAAATATAAAAATTTCGTTTTAAACAAATTATTACCGATGAACGCACCAATCCAAGTCAGTGGTGGCCTAGTGGTTAAAGGGCCCGCCTCTCGTTGTCGAGGGTGCAGGTTCAAACCTGGCTACCAATATGATTTTTTGGAGTCATAAAGTCATTTTTCTGCGAGTATTTAGACATCACTGACATACGGGGAAGGAAAACATCGTGAGGAAACCTGGACTCATAGTTTCACAATTATAAGTTTGAAATCACCAACCCGTCTCGAGCAAGCGTGGTGATTAATGCTCAAACCTTCTCCATGTGAGAAAGAGGCCTTTGCTCAGCAGTGGGCTCTGATAGGCTGATGACGACTCACCAATCCTGCAGTGGGATCTTAGACTATTAATGAAATGACACTCGACATCGTTTTAAAAATGTTCTTTCAATTTAATAGTTCAATACTTGCCACAAGTAAGTTGTTGTATGCCACAAAAATGCTATTTTGCTTTTTTTCTGTAAAATATCCTATTATTGATCATAGCATCCATTCAGAGTAAAAAACAATATTTTTAAAGGATTTGTCAGACGCATAATGTTGTAGTTTTCAAACGATAACGGATTACACTGGTGTATATACCTATGCTATTGTGTACGCGGGGCGCGAGGTGGGTAAAATCAATCGCTCGCGCCGCGTATTGGTTGCATACAACAAAGTAAGACTTATGTTTTTCAACGTATACAGTTGTAAGTATCATATACCATAAGTGGTGCTATCTGGGCGCCGCGGTATAATGTTGTTAGTATCTGATGCAACAACTTTTATAGCTTCTACAGTTTACTACGAAGTAAAATGTTAAATGAACAATGTCTCCGCCACTGAAAATATCTTTTAACGTAGTTAAGAAGACTATTATGTAAAATTAAAATACGAAATTTTAAAAAGATGCATCAATAAATGCAGATTTTGGTTTAATTTTAATCTTTGAAACGCTCTACCGTAAAATTAGTTTTGCAGATAAAACAACTTACGTGGGAGGTATCGAGTTGTGTACTCTGGAAGATCTCCAAAAATCCTTCTTTTATTTAATTTACAGAAAATTGACATTAATTAAACTACTAAACTAAACATCCGAAATTTTAACGTTCTCTTAAAGTTTCCGAAATAATCATAATATTTTAAAAGTTATTGGCTATAAATCACAATTGATGATTTCAAAATTGAAAAGCGGTAAAATCTGACGTTTGTCTTGTTCTAACCTCTAAGTAGACTAAGAATATATAATTCAAAATTGTCACTGCTGCATCCTTGTAATGATTTAATTGTTCTTTAAGATTATTTGTGCGAGAATATATGAAGATCTTGTCGATAAACTGGAAGGCATAATATCATCTATAGATATGTTAGCGGTTTATTTTCCTCTGCTAGCTATGTCAGCAGTATCTGTCATATCAATCATATATTTGTATTGCAAGAACAGGATGAACCGAAGAAAAGGCTATATGGACGTCGCTGAGAAACAGTGATTCTTTTCTATAGGATATTAAAATAAAAACACATATTTGTAACAGATTATTTAATTTTTAAATATATTCTAAAAAAAACAGGTCATAACATGGTATGTACAATCAACAATACACCTCTAGGGAAGTAAGGCACCTATTACACTTAGCTGTCTAACGACAAACCCATTTAAGAACTAATTTAACTTTCACCGTTTGGTTTAAACTTTAAAGTCCCACCCTATCCAATATATATTGAGCATTATTACTGATATGATACAAACTAATTAACACTAAATACCTACATCTGGCAAAATTTATATTCAGTCTACAGCAAATATATTAGTAGGTAAAAATATAGATCTAAGTATACATGAGATAAACTCATCGGCACTCTCAATATTAATACAATTAAAGAACTCTCATGAAACTTGCCCCGAGGCAACAAATCCATCACCTAGATTTACTATAATTGGTAACTTAATTTAACATCAACCGATAGTCATATAATTTTATTCATAACAATATTATAAGAAACATTTATATCCAAAAATTTTAAATTTTGTATACAATAAATTTATATTATCAATATGTATAATAAAATAGTCGTCACTTCATATAATTTTAAAAGTTTTAGTCATTCCACACAGCCCACTGACAATAATTGCACTTGTGAAGGAACTTACATCTACAAGTTACAACATATACATCAAAAATATATGATTCATAAAACTATGATGTAATAAATTACAAAATATATATATATTTTAATATAGAGTATACACTTCTATATAGACAATCTACTATTAGTATACATAACCAGTTAATAGGTTAATAATAAACATTCTGGCAACATTGTTACAGACTAGCAATGCCTCTAAATATAAATTTGAACATGAATATGTCCTTTTAAAAACAGATTTTATTATTTGTTCTCGCAATACCACAACAGTACAGTGGTCTGCAATAATATGTTCCTTTGGGGGAAAGAATATTGACATAGTTGTATAAACACATTTGAGTGAGAAGTGTTTCTTAGACACACTATAATAGTGTTATGTCCGAGGTCTTCAATACTCGAGCTGTATGTTCTGGACTCCTGCATGAAAAAAGTTGTGTTAAATATTATTCATAGTACTACATTATAATTTTTCAAGAATAATGGTCTTTAATATTTATTTTGGTTACATTTTTATATTGAGTTTTGGATATTTTGATGTTTTTTACTAGGTCATGACTTTAAAATATTTAACATTTATTTAGGCTTAAGATAAAGTTTATTTTCTGATTTAGACAAAAATATCTTCATAACAATTGAGTTAACGTCACGAAGTTATGATAATTTTGTAATAGATAATAATAGTTTTTATTGGTGAATGAACAAAAAAGAGGCTGGTGCGACCTGGTTGACTTGACATCATAAGAGTTGAGAAACTTTGCTTTAATCAACTTGATATATATATATTCTAGGAACACTGTATATATATATTATACGAATGTATTTCCCGTTTCAAACTTTTATACATGTCAGCCGTCGTTTTGATGACTTTAAAACAAAGGGGTAAAATTTAGAATAATAGAGTAAATATCAACTTACATGTTGGGCTCCTGTTTGAAAGTCGCGTCAAACACATGTTCCCCGGGCGGCAGTTGTGGCACGAGTGGAGGCGAGGCGCCCCCTCCCCCTGCGGCCGGCGCGTCCCCCGCCACCCCCGCCGCGCCCTCACCACCCGCTGGACCCTCCTCGAGCGTCGCCTCTGTTGATGCTCCTAAATAATAATAACTTCATTATAAACTAATTATATAATATTATAATGATTTTTATGACATTTTTATAACACATTTCTAAACTTTATACATTACGAAAAAGATGTTGTTCCGAAAAGTTTGTGACATTTGATGACTAAACAGGCGTTTATTAAGACATTATTCAAAAGATATAGCGCGTTTGATTTAAGCTTTGCATTTGTGTGAGTGTACACGGATAGTGTAGGTGTGATGTCAAATTTTTGAATGCCACGATCTTTTCTAGGTTTTAACCGGTTTATTCTGTTTTTACTCCGCCCCGCACTTCACCCTTTGTACTGGTTGCAACGTCAAATGTAGAAATTCAAAAGCATAGCTCAGCTTAAATCAAACGCACTATAATCCGTACTTATAAATGCGAAAGTAACTCTGTCTGTCTGTCTGTCACGCTTTCACGCCTAAACCACTGAACTGATTTTAATGCAATTTGGTACGGATATGGAGTTGACCTCGAGAAAGAACATATGATAGTTTTTATTCCAGACTTTTGAAAGGTTCTCTTGGAAACGCGATATAACCAAACTCCACGTGGGCTAAGCTGCCGGTGGAAAGCTAGTTTGTTATAAGACTATTATTTTGGTTCCCAAGTAACGGAATTGTTGTTCATCGTCCCTACCTCCTAAGAGCATCTCCTGCAGCAGACTATCAATATGCGCGACCCCGAACAGCTTGGCGAACTGTATCTGTTCTATCATCTGCCAGGTGATGCTCTGTAGCGGCGGCAGACACAGCAGTAGTTCGCCGAACCTGCCGCGCCCGTCGTACTGACGGTCACTGATGTAGTCCTCTAAATTTATTTGAATTTGATAACGGAGCTGTTTGATCTTGTGAGGCTGAGATAGACCCTTGGCGTCTGAAAAAATATGGACAGGTTATACTTGTATATCGAATCAGTGGTGGCCTAATGGTTAGGGCCCGCCTCTCGTTGCTGAGGACGCGGGTTCGATCATGGCAAGTACCAATGTGATTTTTCCGAGTCATATGTACTTTATAAGAATATTTAGACATCACTGATTAATACTGAATCCCGAAAGAGGGTTGATGTGAGGCAGGCGGCCGGTCGTAAAAACAATTAGCCATAACTATTTACAACATGTAAGGCAGACCCTGGCTATAGCCGGGAAATTACCAGGTAGAAGAAGACAGTGAAGAATGATTCCAAAAAGGAGATAGGTGGGTAATTATTATTAGCTACATGTATGTAGTGATTTTATTTTAAGAAAATGTGTAAAGCTTAACTATCATAACGAAGGTTATATAAGTGTATAATTTATATTCTTACTAACGTATCTAATGCTTATCTTAAATGTATATTTTGGTTTCAACTTTGAATTTTATGATAACATAAAATTCAGTTATTTTTATGTAAAAACTAATAAGACTATATCTGTAGTATTTAAATGCAATAGATTATTATCTGTTGTCGTTTGCCAGCGTTCACGATATTGATTGGTATCACGATAAACAAAAATGTATTAATTTTATGCAATTATACAATAAATTTAAAGTTGAAACCAAAATATACATTTAAGATAAGCATTAGATACGTTAGTAAGAATATAAATTATACACTTATATAACCTTCGTTATGATAGTTAAGCTTTACACATTTTCTTAAAATAAAATCACTACATACATGTAGCTAATAATAATTACCCACCTATCTCCTTTTTGGAATCATTCTTCACTGTCTTCTTCTACCTGGTAATTTCCCGGCTATAGCCAGGGTCTGCCTTACATGTTGTAAATAGTTTTGGCTAATTGTTTTTACGACCGGCCGCCTGCCTCACATCAACCCTCTTTCGGGATTCAGTATTAATCAGTGATGTATATATCAATGAATATGATCATCAGCCTATCAGAGCCCACTCATTGCTGAGCAAAGGCCTCTTCTCACATGGAGAAAGTTTAATTAATCACCACGCTCGATGAAGATGGGCGGGTGATGTCAAACATATAATTTGAAATTATAACTCCAGGTTTCCTCACAATGTTTTCCTTCATCAGTCAGTAGTGTCTAAATACTCTTAGAAAGTGCATATGACTCGGAAAAATCTCATTCGTACGTGCTAAGAAGGTTAATCTATATATACAGGGTGACTGGTGTATTACTATCGATACTTGAGGACGTGATATTTGACGATCATATATGACAAAATAAAAATTAATATAACATAAATATTAATAAACTTCTAAGTAAAGTTAACCAAAAGTTATGAAATTAATTACGCATCGTGTGAACACCCTACAGATTAGGTATACACACACACTCACACATACGCGCGCGGCGGCGTAGTGTTGTATCAGCACGCCGCCGCCCGCGTCCACACTTGGAACACTTGGAACGTGTCAACACTTTATTTTATTTATACGGAAATTTTGTCAAAAATTAAGTGCCTATTTTTTTTACATAATTCGAATGAGAATCATGTACCGAGTATTCTCCTTAAATATTGATAGTAATTCACCAGTCACCCTGTATATATATGTTATATTAATGTACTAACTCGGATCAAAGAACACGATAGCCTTGAGGCAGGCGAACTCCGTGTCATCGATGTCTATCTCCCTGAGAGGCTTCACGATCTCATCCATCACCCTCATGCCGATCATGCTGATGTCTATATCCATTCTGCCGTCTGGAATCATCACAGATTATTAATAATATTATCATCTGTGGACCATTTTGATTAGTCTGTGTTGATTGTTGGTGTTGAGCTGTTTTTAAGAATGTACGTCAGGTTTAAAAGTAGCTGTTATCTGTGGAGGACATAGTTGTATTGTATTAAATATATCATTGTTTTAGTAGATCGTATTTATCTTTCTATTTTATACAGAACATTTGTCCTTTCCTACTTATATTAAAAAAATTAATAAAATTTCTAAAACTAAAAAGAACCTAACCTACATCTAAGTACATATAGGAATAGGCCGTTCTGCTTCAATGATTAGGCTGAACAAACAAAAAGATTTTTTTCTTGTGTATGTACTACGTAGCTTGCATACATACTAATTTAGTTGAACGCTAGTTTAGTTTTAGTGACATCTAGTTACATTAAAGTTTGTTATATATTATGTATATATGTGTAAATTATATATATGTACCCAGATGGTGTTTGGTAATAATGCAGTTGTTTCCCAACAGCAGCACGTCTCGCAAGTGCAGTGAGCGTCGAGCACATCCCAGCAGTAGGTGCTCGCCCGCGTGAGCACGCAGTAGCGCCACCTACAACACACACACTGTCAGTATCACGTTAATTACTACTAACATACTACTTAACATAATATACTGTAATGATACTACTATTAAATCATGGTCAAAGTTTATTGGATATTATATTGTAAATGATAGAGAATGATGTTCGTGATGCGATTTATTGATATTGTTGAAAATATCAAAATATATACAACTAGCGCCATCTTGTGGTAAATATGTCAATTAGCCTCATCGCCTTTGTCTATATTCAATAAACTATTTGTTAGTCTATCTTTCGTGGACATACGTTGTTTTATTATAAATAAAATGATTTTTTATTTTATAGGCCGTGATGGCCTGAAAGCTTAAGGCTCGCCTCTCGTGCACGAGGGCGCGGGTTCGAAACCTGGCAATTAGCAATGTAATTTTTCCAAGTCTTTCTAAGAATATTTAGACACCACTGACATATGGTGAAGGAAAACATCGTGAGGAAACCTGGACTTATAATTTAGGTTCACCAACCCGTCTTGAGCAAGCGTGGTGATTAATGCTCAAACCTTCTCCATATAAGAAGAGGCTTTGCTCAGCAGTGGGCCCTGATAGGATGATGATAATGATGTATTTGTTTTGTATAAGTATTCTATCCTTAGTACGAGTAATTTCTATTGTATGAGTACCTGATCATCTAAGTGTAGTTCCGTGAAGGCCGGTATGTACTTGGCCCACTCCACCAATATCAGTAGCTGTTGTTTGATAGAGTCACATACATCGTTGATCTTAGCCAACTTGCGGTTGTTTATCTCCGCGTCTGTTACGTTGTTCGTCTGTAATTATAATTAATTACGATAATTTTTTCCAGTAATTCATTTTTAAATTTTAGTGTAAAATATGTCGATAAATAATAAATTATGGCTTAACGTCGGGGATAGTGCAAATCCGCGTAACTGTCATTGGATAAGTCCGCGTATATACATTGGACGAAAATTATCAAAAGAAAGTTTGAGCTGAAATATTTTCTAAATTAACGATTTTTAAGGTATTTTTTTAAAATTAGTAATCAATTAAACACGAAATAATTACTAATTGTGAAATAATTATCTTAAGAGTCGTTAATATTCTGTTTTTTTTTTTTTATTATTGCAATTTCGTCACACCCATATCACTATATTTTAGGTGATAGAGCAATAAATATCTGTAAATTCTCAAGTTTTTTACTAAATACAATATTATAGTATATCTCACCTCGTCAATGACTTTTCTACTGAGTAGTTCAGCGTTTAATAGCGACACTACTGACAGTCCGTTCGCCTGCGCAGGTTCTTCATAAGACGGTCGCCTGCAGTTAATACGATCACGTTCGTTTTGGACCGCTGCCGATATTAAAAAAAACAACTGTCAAAAATGACAGGTGATGTGTTCCCGCCAAAAATTAACAATGACATTGGCAGAATATTGAATAGAATTGACATTTGACATAATAAAATTTTTTTTTGTTATGTAAGATATAAAAGCATACAGTAACTGTCATGAACAGATTTTTTTATCTGTCAACCTTTTCAGTATATTTGACTATTATTTGACTTAGATTAACTGCTATTATTTGTTTTTTTTTATTTTTTATAAAACAGACATTTTAGGATAATAATATGAAAAAATCATAAAGATATACTGAGAGATTGTTTATAAATTGATTAAGTATTCGATAAATAGTTTAATTGTTAACGTTATTTATAATGTAAACTGAGTTTAATTTTCTAAGTAAATTATAAATGTTGTTTACATTGAATCAGTGGTCCTTTGAGATAATGTCGGTCGCTGAACCACGATTGCGGACGAGCGCTTCATATATTACAACAATAAATATTCATAAAATAATCAATAATTACAGTCTATATAACATTCAGGGATCGACAACATATTCTATTGACAAACCGAGAGTTTGTTACTACATTTTATTACTCTGTGATTAATAGATATTAGTCACGTTAATTTGAAAAAAAACTTGACTCACAATACCTAATAAATATATTGTAGTAATTAGTTTAATAGCTGTAATCAAATATCTAGATAGGTGTCGTCTTAAATGAGTTATCTTGTAAGGAGGTATTAATGGCATATATCCCTACTAATATTATAAATGCGAAGGTAACTCTGTTTGTCTGTTACGCTTTCACGCCTAAACCGCTGAACTGATTTTAATGAAATTTGCTACAGAGATAGAGTTGACCTTGAGAAAGAACATAGGATAGTGTTTATCCCAGACGTTTGAAAGGTTCTCTTGGAAACGCGATATAACCGAACTCCACGCGGGCGAAGCTGCGGGCGGAAAGTTAGTAATATATATAACCTCACCTTCTTTCTTCATCCCCGCCTTAAAGCACTTCCTAAGCCTGCAATATCTGCATTGATTTCGTTTGTCCTTGTCAACTACACAATTTCTGCTGAACCTGAAAATACAAAATACATATATTATAAGTAATCTTACTTTATATTTCAAATAAAAAAAATATAACACTAAGGTAAATATATTGGAGTGCGTTAAATATTCGTAGATTTTGTAAGACACGTAACGACTTCAAACTGAAAGTTCAGAAGTTTTTAATAATGTTAAGGAATACACTTCAACTGTCGGTTTATTGGTGAACGAGATAAGTACTAGGTATTCTATACATATAGTAAGTAGTCCATATTTCTTTACATATGTACTTATATTGTAATTTATTCGATACAAAATTATAATACGACTTCTTTAAATAGATAAATCTTGTTAGAAAGTCATATTAATAATAATCATCATTTAGGAACATACTTATATTCTATGCATATCAATTGTTTTTGTATCTTATAATATATTGATAGACGCACGATGACATAAAACGTACTGTAGTGGTCATGTGCATACCATATTTTATATTATTCTAATTATTTAAATGAAATTCATATTTTCGGATTATCATAGTTTCAAAGGTGGTAGAGCCTAGCTGTGGTAAGTTACTACAGCTCGAACATGGGCTGGCTCGACCGGGGAAGTATCACCCTCTCACAGAAGAACGGCGTGAAGTAGCCTTTAATGGCTGCGTTTCGTCCGATGAGTGAGAGAGCCGGTTGCCCTTTTCCTTATTCCCACCCTTTCCTACCATTTCCTTATTCCTACTCCTCCCTATTACTAAAAAAACAAGGTTGGCAACGCATCCGCAAGAAACATGTAGCGGATGTCCATGGACGACGGTACTACCTTACACCAAGTAGGCTGTCTGCTCCTTTTGCTACCTTTGACATAAAAAAACTATTCGTTATTTCATTATTTTTTAAAGTACGTACCCGTGATCACGTGATCATCATTGCTGCAAAAGTAACCGAAACATCGGCAGTACGTAGTTTAAAATAATAAAAAACGCGTAGTACATCCGAATATATTAGTTTCATTTGTATTAATACTTAAAATTATTAGATATTTATGTCACCTGCATGTATAGAGATGGTTCTTTCTGACGCTACGTCTGAAGAATCCTTTACATCCATCGCATGAAGACGCTCCATAGTGTTTGCCCGTGGCTCGGTCCCCACATATAGCGCAGTGCTGGGACAGCACGGTCGAGCTAGCACTCGCTTCACTACTGCTTGTTTCAAGCTGCATATCACTATCTATAAAATATTTATTCTATTAACAACACATAGAAATTAAATCTAGGTAGTGTTATAAAACTAAATCAGCCATTTTTTTAAATATTATAAATTTGAAATACTTATTTATCAGAAAACGAAATTAATTACGCGATTAAAAAGAAATGATATCATATGTATTATCTTATTATTTTACTGATTATGTTATATGGTTTTTGACGTACTTTTAAAATATAGATCCGGGAAAAAGTAAGTATAAGCTAATTACACGTAGAAATTTACTTGAAGGTATGTATAATCATCTCTTAGATGTCTATGAGGCTGTATATGAGAAAGGAAACTTCGTAATTATATAATGTTTACTTGTTTAATAGTATTTTTTATTGTGAATATATTAATTATAATTATATTCTGATAACGACCTCATGATGACAAGGTCGTTTTATATGTAACGAATTAATATACGGAAATTGAGATGAAATTAACGTGTGAAGGACGAGACAGAGATTGTAATAATTATGTAATAATATATATGTATTTAATGGTCAATAAAAATATATTTTATTTAAACTCTAGTTTTTTTCTTTTGAGAAAACTTCAGAATATGGTTCAAAGAGAAATGTATAATACGACAGCGCCATCTATCGGCTGTGTTATGAGTTTATACACAATACAAGTGGTAAGAATTACATAGTCTTGACAAAAATACGCTTAATTCGGAAAAAATAAGTTATTTTAGTTTAAACAATACCTGTAGTTACTATCGACGTGATTTTTTGTCAAGTAAAAGAACAATAAATATTTATATACATAACAAATAAAAATAACGAAATCATTATCTATTTCTAGAGATAATTTCGGTAATAGAATCAGTTTAGCTGCTTAAAACAGATTGTTATTGTAAATTGACATTCCTCATATTGACTGTAAAGTATTGTAATATTTTCTCTAAAAGACGGAAGTTTAATGCACTATTTTTATCCGTAAAGAACTAAATAACTCTATTGCAAATATTCTTTAAAGTAATCAATTACATGTAGGAAAAATTTTATTCTTAGAATATATTATTATAGGTAAAATTGCAACTTCCTTTAGCTTTTCTTTGTTCATAGTTAACAATATTTTTCGGTTATAATGGCGTTTGATTTATAATTATGCCTACTCTAAGTTACATCGTCACACTATACGGATTGGTAACAGTTTTTCATCAACATATCACATTATAGTATTTACGTAGTTTATAAAATACGAGAAAATTGTCGTATGTAGTGACAATGGAAACTTAAAGATATTATTACGCCGACTTATGATAACGTCAGTCATTTACAGATTTTTCTCATATCAGTGTAATCATGTCCTTAGAGATTTGACAATATTCTTTTATTAAAACTTGATTTGTTATTTATCAGTTTATTTTTATTTTATTAAATTCAAAATAATACTATCTTTTTCTAACCTTATAAATAAATGTATGTACGTCATTTGATACATTTCGTCATTCAATTCATTAAATCATTTTCCTATAGAATTAATATGAATTAATCGAGTAAGAGGAAAAACCCTGGATTAACGAGTAAATTTAATATCTTAATAAGTATATATTATTTTATTTTTAACTATTACATAGTAATACTTCATTAATTTGATAACATAACTTATCAAATGAATTTTCAATCAGATATTACGAACAAGGCGATTTGAAAGTAAAATTAATGTTATTTAAAATTATATATATGTATATAAAAAAAGCTTTTCATCATCAGCCTATCAGAGTCCACTGCTGAGCAAAGGCCTCTTCTCACATGGAGAAGGTTTGAGCATTAATCACCACGCTCGCTTAAGACGGGTTGGTGATTTCAAACTTATAATTTGATATTATAAGTCTAGGTTTCCTCACGATGTTTTCCTTCGTCAGTCTGTTGTGTCTAATGCTGAACGCTTTTGTATGAGAATAATTTAATTTTCTACTATAATATACATAATATCTGATTTGTGATTCATTACAGAATTAAATTATATTATTGTATTGAAAATATTAGAGCATGTAAGTGGTAGGCAGGACCTGTAAAGATTTTTATAAGCACACGAAAAGTATGTCTATTGTAAAATAAAAACATGTGATTCACTTTTAAGCATTTTATAAGGTATAATATACTTATAAAAATTAATACTGTTGATATGAAGTTTAAATTATCAGCGATTAATATAATCGTGGTTTAGATTCGAGGTATTTGCTTCGTGTTATAAAAATTGTAATGTTTGTCATTTAAACGTCAAACGGCAGACTGGTTCATTGTTTTCATGATTCAAAGAATAACGTTCATAACCTTATGTTATATAAGGATTTATATATTAAATTAGAAAAATGTATTAATAAATTATTAATTGTAATCAATACGATAATTATAAAGATACGTAATTGTTAATTCGATACAACGTTATTCTGATGCAATGTGTGTGTGTGTGTGTGTGTGTGTGACACAAACCTGTGTTGTAAGACACTGTGTTACACTGTGCATCCTCGTGCTGCCTGTAGGTCATGTTATACTGGACGGAGTTTTTCTCCCAGTACCCTCCCGGTAGAATGTACTCATTGGTTGGACAGTAACGCAATCCGATTTCCTGAGCCATGCCGACACCAAGCACTGGCATTTTCCACAAGCGACACACACCGAACTACAACTATCACTGAACGACTGATAAATAAACAATTAGGTAATCCTATGCATTATAGTACGGGAATATAGTGCAGATATGTTATCACTGGCCGACCGGTTATTAGTGGACTATATGAGTAATCAGTGACACGACCTTCCTCGTCCGCGTCTTAAAGTCAACTAAACTAGAATACAAAGCGACGTATCCTAAGTTTTAATTATTGCAAATCTGCTGACAGTGCAGTAATGAATGAACTCGCTTGTCCGTAGCTGAGTCACGTTTTATCGGAAACGCAGCGGATGTAGTCGAATATGTCCAAGTCGGAATATTACTTACCATATATACATAAATGTTATGTTTTTGACCGGATGACTAATTGATTACACGCATTAGCTTTGTTCTTTTGTACTGGGGCTGGTCGCGATTCTGATAACTTTGTTGTGGACATTTGATTTTTTTTTTGCTTGTTATCATTCATATATATACGTATTTTGATATATAATATTCAATATATGTAAGTTATTTACAATACTTCGTCTCAAACCCGGAGTACATGAGTGTAAATCAAATGGTATAACTATTAAATTTTAGGCTGTAAAGGCTATATATATTAAGGTTTCTTTATATAATACTAATTGTAATATTTTAAAGACATAATATGGAAAATTTGCTAAAATATTATCTGTACCAAATTATCGGTAAGCTACATTAAGACATAATTGTCCAGTTCGAACCGGAACACAAGTCAACAAAGTTATTAGATAATGGCAGCATCTCATTTTAGTCGTAAATATTGACATACAATTGTCAATTTTAATCTCATTATTTAAAAATTTTGACGTTCAGATATATATTTTTCTAAATATATGCATGAAATGATTGATAATGAACGTCCCTTTTAATGTTTTTTGATAACTTTACAAATTTTTATCAAAGACAGTAGATAAGCTGTGTATAATATTACAAAATTTTTTTTTACCGAGGGCTTAGAATTAATTGTTACAATGTTGTTGCGAGATCCTGGACTTGTCACTTCAAGTATTGAAAGATGAAAGAATAGAGAAAAGAAAAGAAAATTAGCAAGAATTCATTGAGAATCCCTACTAATATTATAAATGCGAAAGTAACTGTCTGTCTGTTACGCTTTCACGCCTAAACCACTGAACTGATTTTAATGAAATTTGGTACAGATATAGAGTTGACCTTGAGAAAGAACATAGAATAGTTTTTATCCCAGACTTTTGAAAGGTTCTCTTGGAAACGCGATATAACCGAACTCCACGAGGGCGAAGCTGCGGGCGGAAAGCTAGTACATTATAAGTTGTTTCCCTACATTTAATGCTTACACTTTAATGAGTATTTACAAATAGACATTTTGAATGTGTAAACAAATGACTAAAGCAGTGGAAATGTACCTTTAATAGTTTATATGAGATATAGATGTTAATGAGAGTGCTCTGTTGACACTATAATAGGTTGGTAACTTATCGCGGCGAGTCAGGTCAACATGTTATGTACATCAAATGGGGTATTGCGAAATGATTTATAAAAACTACTCTCATATACAAAATAAGTCAGTAGTGGCCTAGTGGTTAAAAGACCCGCCTCTCATGTATGAGAGCGCGGGTTCGATCCTGGCAAGTACCAATGTGATTTTTCCGAGTCATATGTATTTGCCAAGAGTATTTAGACATCACTGATTAATGCTGATTCCCAAAGAGGGTTGATATCAGGCAGGCGGCCGGTCGTAAAAACAAATAGCCAAAACTATTCACAACCTGAAAGGCAGACCCTGGCTAAAGATGGGAAATTGCTAGATAGAAGAAGACTATCATATATAAAATATAGTACAGTCGAAATTTATTTAAAAAAAGATTGTGTAGTATATTTCGTTTTTCCGTGATCACGTTTGCTGAAAAGTAACCGGAATTTCGGGAGTATGTAGCTTAAAATGACAGGCACGATAGTTTAAATGACAAAGTGACTGGAACGCGATTTTGCGAGGATCGCAGATTGGAACCCTATTCGTATTGATCAATTTTGTCAATATATACATATTTTTCATAATAATATATTTGTTTAAATTCTTTGGTTAAATTAAAATTCTATTCTCTAGTTTAAGATATAAAAACATTCTTCTATATATTATTTGTATATTTTATTAATATTTTCTATGTCGTCTTTAATAATGTTCATAACGGTGTTGTGTAATAATGTTTTATAGTCCATAATAAATAAACATTGTAATCGCGAGGAAGGTCGGGGGTTAAAACATGCATTCCTGATTTGATGAAGAGATAGAACAATAAGGAAATAGAAAATTTAAATAATCAATATTAAAAGGAACGGCAGGTTTTTCTTTGGAATATTAAAATGAAGATATATTTTACTAAATGTATATATGTGTGATTTGGTATACATGGTACTGATAGCGAAATAATGTTTTTTGTACAATCTTGTTTGTTCCGGCTAATCTCTAAAACTGTTTGACCGATTTTAATGTAACTGTCACTAGCTGATAACTGGTAAGTAGTAAGAGTATTTTGGGCTACTTTTATTTAAAAAATATTTTTATTTATGTCAAAAAGTAGCTTTACGCGCGGATAGAGTCGCAGGCACAGTTAGTCGTTAAAACCTTTTAATATTTTCAGTATAGTTACTTTTAAACTTATTAAAATAATAATTATATATTTGAAGCCTATTTTTATTAATTAATTTGTAACAAATTAATTACATTATTTTCCGAATTTATCAAAATAATCTATACTAATATTATAAAGCTGAAGAGTTTGTTTGTTTGTTTGAAAGCGTTAATCTCCGAAACTACTGGTTCGAATTGAATAATTCTTTTGTGTTGGATAGTCTAGTTATCGAGGAAGGCTGTGGGCTATATAAAATCACGCTACGACCAAAAGGAAAAGATATAGTGGTAAATGTGTAAAAAACGGGAGAAATTATTTCATCTTTGAAGCCTTCCGTTGCGTGCGCCGTGAAAACGGTTCAAGATACACAAAAAATATGTATTAAAGAATAATATGTATTAAAAATATGTATTAAGCTCTTTTAATGATCTAAAAAACAGTCCGCGCGAGTCTATCTTTTAAGATTAACTCACAAAAACCGTTTTTATGGTACCTAATTTCTCGAAATAATTTGTTTATGTTGTATCAACATAATAATATTAATCTTTATACAAATAAACAAATAAATATGTTGTTGGTTAAGAGTACTTCATTGTGAAAAAAATAAAACATAAGTTTTATCCTGATAATTCTACGGGAACTCGACCATTCCGAAAACCCTGCAAGAACGGGAACTAAGTGGGAAGAACCAAAAATCTGCCGGAAGTCACTATTCCACGCGGACGGAGTCGCGGCAAAATTTACGAATAAAATATTTATGTCTCTGTTGACATTTGTAATGGCCTTATTTAATTTTAAGAATTTTTTTGATAAAACTAATTCCATATTTACATTATGTACAAATAAAGTAACCATTTTTTATAGATATAATTTTAATTTTTTCTCTTTACAAAATTTAAAATAGAATTCTTCTTTTTATAATAATTGATAAATTTATTTTAGAAATCCCGCCATTTTTTCTTTCTGGCATCTAAACTGTGTACAGACTATTATATAATTATATCTTTACATAGAAACGTTTTGTTATTGAGTCTAACACATTCAGCCCATATGAATTATTTATATAATAAAACTCCTTATTGATGGGGAATAATTAAAAGAATTTATAGCAGTTTTAAGGACACTAGTATGTTAATATATTAATTAAACGAGGCCCTTAAAACAATACGGAAAACGATAAGGTTATATAAATATACATTCACGTTAATGTGATTATTGATCGAAGGTTGCATGGTGGTTACCAGGTTTAAGGAATGCCTCAAAAAAAATATCTGTATCCTATAATATTTAACTATCGCGGGGCAAAGATCTTTTCCCCTAACTTATTGCATAAATTGTGTACTTCACTGAAAAATAATAGTTACCTGTTTTTGCTTTAAATTACATATTACTTTTATTTTATATATATTTTTCAAGGCAACAATTAAATTATTATTAAAAAGAAATAATTCAAGGCTGTTTTATTATAAAGTTTTTTTTAAATGTAGATCTAGTGACCCAAACCAATACTTTCAAGTATGTACAATGTACTTATAAATTATAATATAAATAGCGGGGTTTCTAAACTAAATTATTTCAATTATTACTTAAAGAATTGTATTTTAAACTAAATACAGAAAACTTTAAAGGTATGTTTAAAAATTTGTAACTTTATATGTAGGTACGTAATATGTATATATAAAACCGTAATATATATAAAAGTGTAATATATATATATATGTATATATATATATATATATAACCCTAAGACACTTCATTCTTGTTCTACACTTTTTACTATGCAACTCATATAAAACAAAGAATTATCGCATTTCTTAATGTGATTTTTTTAAGTAATTTAATATCATCAAAATAATCGGACATTGTATTTTAAGTAAAATTATTATATGTATTTTTATCAATTAAATTTTATGACACCAATTTAGTATAAATCAAAGAAGAAGTATTCCGTATAGTGAAAATTTGGCTATTTTCTCAATATGTATATAATTATTTTACGTAATATATTGTTCTACATAGTGAGTGTACGAAAAATAACCAATACACCATTTCCGGTCTTCCGCTACATTGAATTTATGACACATACTGATATTGCATTGTCATTAAAAATAAATGTGCATGTTTTAATAAATCTTTTGAAAATAATTATTAAAATATCTATATTGTATAAGTTAATACTTTTATCATTTATGCTAAATACTTATATATATCTCATTGATTATTTATTTATTTATTTGTTTGCTAATAAATCTCAAGGTGGTAGAGCCTAGCTGTGGTTAAGTTACTACAGTTCGAACATGGGCTGACCTGACCGGGGAAGTACCACCCTCTCACAGAAGATCGGCGTGAAGT